AGTACTTAGAATTGTGTGTCCCCGATTAAGACTGTTCCAACAACCGTACACCGCACAGAAGGAGAGCCTTTGACAAACAGACTTTACATGGTTTTCAATGGGAGCAACACTGTCCCACCTCTGCTCATGCGCCCCCTACAGGCCAGGTTCATGAAACACAAGACTAATGATATTGTTGCTTCCGTCCATAGACTCTAAATATCAACCTAGTCACGCTTATCTCCGCTGTTGAAACTAATGTGAAAAAAGTAAAACACATTTGTGCATGCGTTATCTGCACTGGCCCCATTCATTTAACGAGTGCATTCAAAAGTCCACAGCGGCTAAACTAGACTGGTCCCTCGGCATCGACAGCATCTGGACCGTGCGCTGGACCAAGAGCCACTTTTGGACCATCCTGTAATGACGTTTTCAAGGGGAAAGAAGGCGCCATATAAAAGCATTGGGTAATTCTTAATCCGGGTACACCTCCACCACCAGGGGGAGTGAGATTTAGAGCGAGGACCCGCCCACACTGCTTCCATCGTGCCCTGACAAGTCTGAAGAAGGGAGTCAGAGCAGAGTCAGAGTAGAGTCAGAGTCAGAGTCAGAGTCAGAGCAGAGTCAGAGCGGGAGACAGTCGAGCAGAGTTTGTTGCTAAAATGTGGATTTATAGAATTTGTTAAAAATATATGAAATAAGCAACACTGAAATCACAAAATAACACGAACCACGGGGTATATAGTGACCAAGTGTGATGAAGTATGTTTTAGTTTGTGTTCTCGCTTCTCTCCATGACGCCATGTCTCACACGCCACTTTCTGAACGACACTAGAATCTAAAACCATCTCATGTCGATCCGTCTCCGACAGAAGGACGAGGGTGAAGGAGGAAGTCTGTCCATGACCTGGAGCCCGGGCGCCAGATAATCAGGTGAAGACGTGGGGGCAGAGATAATGTCTCACACACGCATACACACACACTCACACAAACACACACACACACACACACACACACACACACACACACACACACACACACACACACACACACACACACACACACACACACACACACACACACAGACACACACACTCACACACACACACACACACACACACACATACCACACATTCACACACAGACACAAAGACCACACACACATACACTCATACACAGACATTGGTCTCTCTGGTCTCAGTCCTGGTCCTTCTGGTCTCTCTGGTCTCAGTCCTGGTCCTTCTGGTCTCTCTGGTCTCAGTCCTGGTCCTTCTGGTCTCTCTGGTCTCAGTCCTGGTCCTTCTGGTCTCTCTGGTCTCAGTCCTGTCCTTCTGGTCTCTCTCTGGTCTCAGTCCTGGTCCTTCTGGTCTCTCTCTGGTCTCAGTCCTGGTCCTTCTGGTCTCTCTCTGGTCTCTCTCTGGTCTCAGTTCTGGTCCTTCTGGTCTCTCTCTGGTCTCAGTCCTGTCTTTCTGGTCTCTCTGGTCTCAGTCCTGGTCCTTCTGGTCTCTCTGGTCTCAGTCCTGGTCCTTCTGGTCTCTCTGGTCTCAGTCCTGGTCCTTCTGGTCTCTCTCTGGTCTCAGTCCTGGTCCTTCTGGTCTCTCTGGTCTCAGTCCTGGTCCTTCTGGTCTCTCTCTGGTCTCAGTCCTGGTCCTTCTGGTCTCTCTCTGGTCTCATTCCTCTGCGGTGGTTCCAGCCTCCCCCGCTCTCTGCCAGCTGCTCTCTCTCTCTCTCTCTCTCCGGTCTCCCTCTGGTCTCCCTCCGGTCTCTCTCTGGTCTCTCTCGCTCCTCTCAGGCGTTCGCTGAGTGCTTTTTCATTACTTCAATCGTTGCCAAGTTCCGTGTTCTGAATGTGCAGAGCTTCTCTTTGAATCCGGTCTGAAGTTTTCCGTTCAAACCCTTTTTGTTTGTGAGATAAAACCAGTCATAGTTATATAACGGACTGCAGCGGAATCTGGAGGTTTCACAAAAACTATTCATGAACAAAAATCAGTCAGTTTGGCCTTTTATACTTCTTCATTAAAGACGCTATACCCGTTTCTGCAATGTTTGAATGTTTAGCCCCGCCCCCCAACTCGCTCAATGGCTTCTCATTTCTCCTACGCTCTCATAACACGGAGCCACCTAGTTTTATTTGCGATCTGATACGTATGCTAACATTAGCATTAGCGCGACTTCTTGTAAGCTGTACAACAATCACTGATGAAATGGTACTAAAGCAACGCACTGCTAACACAATATATAAGTTAAAGAATACTGCTAGTTTCGCATCCAAATTTATTAATTTAAATATTAGAATATATTCTAATATTTAATTAGAATATATTCTAATATTTAATTAGAATTTATTATACAGCTCCTCACAGCAGCAGTAGAACACACATTGACTTGAATGTAATTCTACCGATCATTTTTTCTTGATAACAGAACTCTCAAACCAATAATGACCGAAGCCCCAATGCAATCTCTGTTTGTAATTCAGGTGTGAAAAATACTGCCATTACTCTGCAAGTACAACAAGCTATCAGCGCTTGTCACTACATTGTGCAGTTTCTCTGCACACTTGTCTGTGTAGAGAAGCTAGCGGAGCTAGCCACGCTCAATAAACAAATACATATCAATCAATCAACACCATTAAATGTCAATCGGACAATACAGTATACACATACATCCTTAACACACATGCACAGATGATTTCAGAATTTGCTGTTAACGTTTTCATGACAAAAATACTGTTTTAAAGTGACAAAAAGCGATCGTGAGAAACTCGGAAGTTACCATGAAACAGCTAGCTAGCTTAGCTGTTACCTGCCTAGCACGTCCCGGTGACACCTTTGGGAGCTAACTATTTTATTTGCAGTCATTAAATACATTTCGAATTATAAGGGTTTTCTAATATTTGTTCAAATATGTATAGATTTTTTATTTTAGAATTATATTCGAATTTTGAAGTTGAAGCCCTGGTGTTGAGCAGCGCTGTAGAGACTAGAGGACACAGGCTGTAGAGACTAGAGGACACAGGCTGTAGAGACTAGAGGACGCAGGCTGTAGAGACTAGAGGACACAGGCTGTAGAGGCTAGAGGACACAGGCTGTAGAGACTAGAGGACACAGGCTGTAGAGGCTAGAGGACGCAGGCTGTAGAGACTAGAGGACGCAGGCTGTAGAGACTAGAGGACGCAGGCTGTAGAGGCTAGAGGACGCAGGCTGTAGAGACTAGAGGACGCAGGCTGTAGAGGCTAGAGGACGCAGGCTGTAGAGGCTAGAGGACGCAGGCTGTAGAGACTAGAGGACACAGGCTGTAGAGGCTAGAGGACGCAGGCTGTAGAGGCTAGAGGACGCAGGCTGTAGAGACTAGAGGACACAGGCTGTAGAGACTAGAGGACACAGGCTGTAGAGACTAGAGGACACAGGCTGTAGAGACTAGAGGACGCAGGCTGTAGAGGCTAGAGGACACAGGCTGTAGAGGCTAGAGGACACAGGCTGTAGAGACTAGAGGACACAGGCTGTAGAGGCTAGAGGACACAGGCTGTAGAGGCTAGAGGACGCAGGCTGTAGAGGCTAGAGGACACAGGCTGTAGAGGCTAGAGGACGCAGGCTGTAGAGACTAGAGGACGCAGGCTGTAGAGACTAGAGGACACAGGCTGTAGAGGCTAGAGGACGCAGGCTGTAGAGACTAGAGGACGCAGGCTGTAGAGACTAGAGGACACAGGCTGTAGAGGCTAGAGGACACAGGCTGTAGAGACTAGAGGACGCAGGCTGTAGAGGCAGAGGACACAGGCTGTAGAGACTAGAGGACACAGGCTGTAGAGGCTAGAGGACACAGGCTGTAGAGACTAGAGGACGCAGGCTGTAGAGACTAGAGGACACAGGCTGTAGAGACTAGAGGACACAGGCTGTAGAGACTAGAGGACACAGGCTGTAGAGACTAGAGGACGCAGGCTGTAGAGACTAGAGGACACAGGCTGTAGAGGCTAGAGGACACAGGCTGTAGAGACTAGAGGACGCAGGCTGTAGAGACTAGAGGACGCAGGCTGTAGAGGCTAGAGGACGCAGGCTGTAGAGACTAGAGGACACAGGCTGTAGAGACTAGAGGACGCAGGCTGTAGAGACTAGAGGACACAGGCTGTAGAGGCTAGAGGACACAGGCTGTAGAGGCTAGAGGACACAGGCTGTAGAGACTAGAGGACACAGGCTGTAGAGACTAGAGGACACAGGCTGTAGAGGCTAGAGGACACAGGCTGTAGAGACTAGAGGACACAGGCTGTAGAGACTAGAGGACACAGGCTGTAGAGGCTAGAGGACACAGGCTGTAGAGGCTAGAGGACACAGGCTGTAGAGACTAGAGGACGCAGGCTGTAGAGACTAGAGGACGCAGGCTGTAGAGGCTAGAGGACGCAGGCTGTAGAGACTAGAGGACACAGGCTGTAGAGACTAGAGGACACAGGCTGTAGAGACTAGAGGACACAGGCTGTAGAGACTAGAGGACACAGGCTGTAGAGACTAGAGGACGCAGGCTGTAGAGACTAGAGGACACAGGCTGTAGAGACTAGAGGACACAGGCTGTAGAGACTAGAGGACACAGGCTGTAGAGACTAGAGGACACAGGCTGTAGAGACTAGAGGACACAGGCTGTAGAGACTAGAGGACACAGGCTGTAGAGACTAGAGGACACAGGCTGTTCGCTGCTCGTTCTGTGAGTGGAGGAGAACGTCCCGCTCAGACTCTACTCAGCACTTTTCACGGCCTGTATTTCTTACACAGCTGAATCAATGACCTCAAGTTTTCAATTAAATGATGTATTATGATACAACTTGTATGTAGTAAAAAGCATTTTTATGAACTAATAAGAAAAAGAATCGGGTATAGCTTCTTTAAGCTAAAGTTAGAGATTTTATACTTTCTTCTTTATTATGCTAAAGTTAGAGATTTTGTTTTAGAATAGAGTTTTTGTGTCTTAATATGAATCTTAATCTCAGACAGAGGGCGAGGGAGAGGAACATTGTTGGACAAACGGTCACTTTGATGAACGACTCTTTGTCTGGACCTGGCTCCAACCTGGCGCCCCTGGACTCTGCCCTCGTGTGGAACATGTATATTTTTAAACATTTTATTTAAAGCTGTGTCCGTGCTTTGTCAGCGTCACGTTGGCAGCACAACGGCGTGTCCTCGGATAAAAATATCACCCGCCGTGACAGAAAAGTGACATTTACAAAACACAACTTTGAGTTCGAGGAATGTCACTTTAGTTCCAAACGTTTGTGTCGCAAAGTTTTTTAGATTCTGTGAGACACATTCTGGAGAAAGGGACGTCTTTTAGTTTCAGAGATTTTTAACGCGCTCTTGGAATTCTTTCACTTATGTCCTTTAAATGTGGAGGTACAGCGGCTCTACTCCGAGCTCTTCCTTCCAGCTCTGACTGCAGATACTGCTCCCTCTTTTGCTTTCTCTCTGGTCTCTCTCTGGTCTCTCTCTGTTCTCTCTCTGGTCTCTCTCTGGTCTCTCTCTGGTCTCTCTCTGGTCTCTCTCTGGTCTCTCTCTGGTCTCTCTCTCTCTCTCACTGGTCTCTCTCTGGTCTCTCTCTGGTCTCTCTCTCTCTCTCACTGGTCTCTCTCTCTCTCACTGGTCTCTCTCTCTCTCACTGGTCTCTCTCTCTCTCTCACTGGTCTCTCTCTGGTATCTCTCTCACTGGTCTCTCTCTGGTCTCTCTCTCTCTCTGGTATCTCTCTCTCTGGGCTCACTCTCTGGTCTCTCTCTGGTCTCACTCTCACTGGTCCGTCTCTCTCTCACACTGGTCTCTCACTCTCTAGTTTCTCTCTCCCTCGCTCTCACTGGTCTCTCTCTCTCTGGTCTCTCTCAGGTCTTACTCTGGTCTCTCTCTCTCTCTCTCTCTGGTCTCTCTTTCTCTGGTCTCACACTCTGGTCTCTCTCTGGTCCCTCTCTCTCTGGTCTCTCTGTGTCTTTGTCTGACAGAGCTCTGACTGCAGACGCTGCTCCCTCTCCTCAGAGAAAGCGTTCGTAGAAAGCAGTTGTTGTTTGTGACTCGTCTGTGAGAAGCTCTTACATCATCATTAGTGAAGTCGTCGTTGTCGTGGCGAGGGCTCGTTTGTTTTGGTCACCGCTCATTTGCATAATGTTTGTCTGATTACACTGAGCGCCATCAAGCACCATCCAAAGACACACACAAAGACACACGCACACACTAAATATGCACTCACACACACACAAAGACACACACACACACCTGTACATGAACTTACACACACACAGTAAACATGCACTCACACGCACACACTTATGTATGCACACACACACACACACACACTCGTTTTTATGCACTGACACACAGGCACACACATATATTTAACCACACACACACCCTATAATCATCCTGTAAAGACGATTGAGTAAGACGGGATCTCAAAATAGAGCCCCTGCTCCGTCTTTCCAAGCGTCTTTTACAAAATCACAAGGTTTTTGGCCATAACCTTTATACACATGGCTCTTTTTGTACTTTCCTTAACACGGATCTGTCGTTGTATCCAAAGTGCAGAAAAGCAGCCCCAAAAGGTTATGTTTCCACCCCCATGCTTCACAGTGGCGCTGGTGTTACTGAGGGAAACCGAAGGTGTCCAGGTCTAAAGTTTTCCATCTCCCGGATCCTGAGGAGGCCTGAGAGAATATCACAAGGTCGAGACAGATATAGTATTTTTTTTTTTTAGGTAAAAACTCTGTAGATGTCACGGAGGACACAGACTGTGAAACATGGGGGTGGAAACATGAAGGTTTGGGGCTGCTTTTCTACACAGGGGATTGGACGATCGGTCTGTACTAAGCAGAAGATGAAAGGAGGCATTTACGGTGAGATTTTGGGGTAAAAACTTTCTTCCAGCAGTGCCAGCATTAAAGGCAAGTTTATTTGTATGGCACAGTTCAAAAGGCTCAAAAGTGCTGCAATAACAAGAGAGAAACAACACAAGACTTTAAAATAAATATATGATCATTACCCAAAGTACATTTGTTAAAAAGTGAATATAAAATGGTCTCTCTCTCTGGTCTCTCTCTCTCTCTCTCTCTGTCTGGTCTTTCTCTCTCTCTCCCTCTCTCTCTCTGGTGTCTCTCTCTCTCTCTCGCTCTCTCTCTGGTCTCTCTCTCTCTGGTCTCTCTCTCTCTGGTCTCTCTGTCTGGTTTTTCTCTCTCTCTCTCACTCTCTAGTCTCTCTCTCTGGTCTCTCTCTCTCTAGTCCCTCTCTCTCTCTAGTCTATCTCTGGTCTCTCTCTCTCTAGTCTCTCTCTCTGGTCTCTCTCTCTCTGGTCTCTCTCTCTCTGGTCTCTCTGTCTGGTCTTTCTCTCTCTCTCCCTCTCTCTAGTCTCTCTCTCTGGTCTCTCTCTCTCTAGTCCCTCTCTCTGGTCTCTCTCTCTCTCTAGTCTATCTCTGGTCTCTCTCTCTCTAGTCTCTCTCTCTGGTCTCTCTGTCTGGTCTTGCGTGTCTTTACAGGTCAGTGTGGGCGTGTCCTCTACAGGTCATTGTGGGCGTGTCCTCTACAGGTCATTGTGGGCGTGTCTTTACAAGTCAGTGTGGGCGTGTCCTCTACAGGTCATTGTGGGCGTGTCCTCTACAGGTCAGTGTGGGTGTGTCCTCTACAGGTCATTGTGGGCGTGTCCTTTACAGAGAATCCCACGCAGAGCTGGAGGGAGGGCGGAATGGCGGCAGCGTCAGCAGGCGGAGGCAGAGCGTCGACGAGGAGAAATGCGCGAGATTTAAATCTCATTGATCTACAACCACCTACCTTAATCCCAGAACCTGTTTTTTCCGTGGATGGGTCAGAGGTTGGGGCGATAGTATGGAGGCTGAGGAGAGTGAAAGTGACGCTGAGTTACAGTCAGCACAGAACAGAGTGAACGAGAGTGGTAGTCACAGCAGTATTCATTCAGTTACTGAGAGACCGAGTAAGATGATTGTTGTGCTGAGGTTTAATGAGTTTGAAGAAGCAACTTTGCCTCAGAAAGTGTTCGTTGGGTTTTTGAGTTACTCAGTCAGAGTGTTCATACCTAAGACCTTTAATTGCCAGCGTTTTGGCCACACAGCAAGTAACTGTAAGGATAAGAGAAGGTGTGCTCGATGTGGAGGGGGCCATGAATATGGGAAGTGTGGGGAAGGAGTACAGCCCAAGTGCTGCAACTGTGGTGGGGCACATAGTGTGGCTTATGCTGGATGTGAGTTTATGAAGAAAGAGAGTCAGATTCAAAAGGTGAGAGTAGAGAAGGGGATCTCTTATGCAGAGGCTGTGAGGACATCACGGCAGAGTGCTCCTCTTGTGACGAGGGGGCGGGGAACAGAAGAGCCGGAGGCAGTAACTGGGCTGAGAAAAAGTAATCTAAGTGTACAGCCAATTGCGCTAGTTTCATTTATTGCTGAAGTAATAAACTGCACTTTTGGGGTCAAAACTAGAGATGAAAGGATCAAATTGATTGTTGAGGCAGCAGTAAAGCTGCTAGGAGTGGTAGGACTGACAGGACTGACAGGACTGACATGGGAAAAGGTGAGTGATCACCTCAGGCTTCAGTCAGGACGAGTGGTATAATGTTATTTGTATTCCTAATGGTGCTTATTCTCCAATGGAATGCATGGAATTTACTGGCCAATGGCCAGGAGTTTAAGTATTTCATTAAAGGACTTAAAGAGAAACCGGACGTAATATGTGTGCAGGAGACGTGGCTTAAGCCTTCTTTGGACTTTATAATATATGGATATGCTGTGATTAGAAATGACCGAGACCATGGAGATGGAGGGGGGTGTGCAACATTTGTTAGAAGCGGTATCCCCTACAGGTTACTGGGGGTAGGGGGAAATCTGGAGTGCATTGTAGTGGAAGTATGGGAGAAGGAAAAACCCACAGTGGTCATACATTTCTATAATCCATGTTCCAGGTTAGAGCATCAGAGCCTCCGGGGTATTCAGGGACAAGACCGTAGGAGAGTAGTTTGGGTGGGGGACTTTAATGCTCACAGTGGAGTATGGGGGGGTCGGCATAAAGACGCCAATGGAAGTGTTATAGAGGAATTGATGGATGAGCAGAATCTTGTGTGTTTGAATGACGGTTCTGGTACAAGGTTTAATGTTGTGAATGGGTCCTCCTCAGCGTTGGATCTTACCCTGGTGTCTAGCGCATGTGCAGGGGGCTGCCAGTGGAGGGTTAGGACAGATACAACCCTGGGGAGTGACCATTATCCTGTTTTGAGCTCAATTGGGGGTAAGGTGAAGGGGATAAGCAGAGAGGGTTTGGGGAAATGGGCTTTCCATAGAGCTGGTGGGACCACAGACTGATAGTCTGTGGGGTTAGAGTGTGAGCCTACTGACCCATCCATGGAACAGAAGGTGGCGGTAATGCGCAAAAATAGGTCGCCAACCGCCGGAAAAACCTAACAAGAAGAAGAAGAAGAGAATCCCACAGTTCAAACACAGGAAATGCAGGGACAGCATTAGACGTCTGTAACAGCTGTTCACTGGAATCCTGCCCTTAACCATCCAAAAACATTTTCCTGCATTTACTGTCTGGGTCCAATTACATCGGTTGAATCTCCTCCGACCAATCAGAGAGCGGAGGAGGCGGGTGTTGTAGGTCGGTGTCGGTGACGTCAAGAGTTTGTGCTGAATTTTCTGGTTGTAGTTTGTCGGAGAATGCGATAGTAAAATAATCTGTTCTGGTTCAATCCAAATATCAAGAAACTGAAGCCGGAGCAAGAGGAATGTTTAGTAAATGTCATTGAAGCAAAGATGTTGTGGCTCTACTCCCCACGGGCTCCGTTAGTGGCCCGTGGGGAGTACGGTGGCTGAGTGGATAGCACTCTCGCCTCTCAGCAAGAAGGTCCTGGGTTCGAATCCCAGTCGGACCAGGGCCTTTCTGAGTGGAGTTTGCATGTTCTCCCCGTGTCTGCGTAGGTTTCCTCCGGGTACTCCGGTTTCCCCTACCACTAAAAATATGTCCAATAGTTCTGGCATGCGCCTCCTGTACTGGCCCCTCCCATCTCTGTGTGGAGTGAGAGACAAATGCCCAAAATTAACAATTGTAAACCGCTTTGAGACTCAGATCTGCAGTGAAAAGGCGGTATATAAATAAAGATTACTATTACTAGAAGATTACTATTACTACAAAGGAGATGGCTAAAGCTAGGCTAATGCTAATGCTAGGCTACATGCTAAAGCTAGGCTAAATGCTAAATGCCTCACTCACTCGGGCTCATTACATACGTCACAGTAAACTCAGATCCAATCGTTTCAATCTGCAAAAGGAGCCCCTCCCACCTGTTAACGGAGTCAATGGAGAAAATCCAGACCTTAGTATGAAATGAAATGAGTACAATGGTGCGGTAAGACCAGGGTAGCTCACTGGGCTCTCTAAACCAGATTAAAAACACCACAGCTTGGGTCCTAAATAGAAAAAGGAAGTACCATCACATTAGTCCTGGTCTCAGGTCTCTGCTTCCTATGGCTCAGAGAAGACTTTAAAACAGCTCAGTGACATGTTAGTGCCAAATGAGCCAACTCTGAGGAGCACAGGGACGGGCCTCCTGCTGGGACTCTGAGGAGCACAGGGTCTGGACTCCTGCTGGGACTCTGAGGAGCACAGGGACTGGCCTCCTGCTGGGACTCTGAGGAGCACAGGGACTGGACTCCTGCTGGGACTCTGAGGAGCACAGGGACTGGACTCCTGCTGGGACTCTGAGGAGCACAGGGACTGGACTCCTGCTGGGACTCTGAGGAGCACAGGGACTGGACTCCTGCTGGGACTCTGAGGAGCACAGGGACTGGCCTCCTGCTGGGACTCTGAGGAGCACAGGGACTGGCCTCCTGCTGGGACTCTGAGGAGCACAGGGACTGGCCTCCTGCTGGTCCCAGAGTCAGGACTAAACATGTGGAGGCACCTGAAGGATTTATCATTTTTCTTTTGAATGTGATTATTTATGACTGGATGTTTGTGTTCTTGGACGGAGCAGACAGGGGGACAAGTCCGACAGCACCTTCATCGTCCTCAGTGGTCGGCTGCGGTCGGTTATTGCAAAGGATGATGGGAAAAAGGAGCTGGCGGGAGAGTACGGCCGTGGGGATCTGATCGGCGTGGTGAGTCACTCTCTGGTCTCTCTCTGGTCTCTCTCTCTGGTCTCTCTCTGGTCTCTCTCTGGTCTTTCTCTCTGGTCTCTCTGGTCTTTCTGGTCTCTCTCTGGTCTCTCTCTGGTCTCTCTCTGGTCTTTCTCTCTGGTCTCTCTCTCTGGTCTCTCTCTCTGGTCTCTCTCTCTCTGGTCTCTCTCTCTGGTCTCTCTCTCTGGTCTCTCTCTCTGGTCTCTCTCTCTGGTCTCTCTCTGGTCTCTCTGGTCTTTCTGGTCTCTCTCTGGTCTCTCTCTCTGGTCTCTCTCTGGCCTCTCTCTCTGGTCTCTCTCTGGTCTCTCTCTCTGGTCTCTCTCTGGTCTCTCTCTGGTCTCTCTCTGGTCTCTCTCTGGTCTCTCTCTCTCTCTCTCTCTGTCTCTCTCTGTCTCTCTCTGGTCTCTCTCTGGTCTCTCTCTGGTCTCTCTCTGGTCTCTCTCTGGTCTCTCTCTGGTCTCTCTCTAGTCTCTCTCTAGTCTCTCTCTGGTCTCTCTCTGGTCTCTCTCTAGTCTCTCTCTGGTCTCTCTCTGGTCTCTCTCTAGTCTCTCTCCAGTCTCTCTCTGGTCTCTCTCTGGTCCCTCTCTGGTCTCTCTCTGGTCTCTCCCGGCCTCTCTCTGGTCTCTCTCTGGTCTCTCTCTAGTCTCTCTCTAGTCTCTCTCTAGTCTCTCTCTGGTCTCTCTGCTCTGCCTCTCTCTGGTCTCTCTCTGGTCTCTCTCTGGTCTCTCTCTGGTCTCTCTCTGGTCTCTCTCTAGTCTCTCTCTAGTCTCTCTCTGGTCTCTCTCTAGTCTCTCTCTGGTCTCTCTCTGGTCTCTCTCTAGTCTCTCTCTGGTCTCTCTCTGGTCTCTCTCTAGTCTCTCTCTAGTCTCTCTCTGGTCTCTCTCTGGTCCCTCTCTGGTCTCTCTCTGGTCTCTCCCGGGCCTCTCTCTGGTCTCTCTCTGGTCTCTCTCTAGTCTCTCTCTAGTCTCTCTCTAGTCTCTCTCTGGTCTCTCTCTGGCCTCTCTCTGGTCTCTCTCTGGTCTCTCTCTGGTCTCTCTCTGGTCTCTCTCTGGTCTCTCTCTGGTCTCTCTCTAGTCTCTCTCTGGTCTCTCTCTGGTCTCTCTCTAGTCTCTCTCTAGTCTCTCTCTGGTCTCTCTCTGGTCCCTCTCTGGTCTCTCTCTGGTCTCTCCCGGGCCTCTCTCTGGTCTCTCTCTGGTCTCTCTCTAGTCTCTCTCTGGTCTCTCTCTGGTCTCTCTCTAGTCTCTCTCTAGTCTCTCTCTGGTCTCTCTCTGGTCCCTCTCTGGTCTCTCTCTGGTCTCTCCCGGGCCTCTCTCTGGTCTCTCTCTGGTCTCTCTCTAGTCTCTCTCTAGTCTCTCTCTGGTCTCTCTCTGGCCTCTCTCTGGTCTCTCTCTGGTCTCTCTCTGGTCTCTCTCTGGTCTCTCTCTGGTCTCTCTCTAGTCTCTCTCTGGTCTCTCTCCAGGTCTCTCTCTGGTCTCTCTCTAGTCTCTCTCTGGTCTCTCTCTGGTCCCTCTCTGGTCCCTCTCTGGTCTCTCTCTGGTCTCTCTCTAGTCTCTCTCTGGTCTCTCTCTGGTCTCTCTCTAGTCTCTCTCTAGTCTCTCTCTAGTCTCTCTCTGGTCTCTCTCTGGTCTCTTTCTGGTATATTTCTGGTCTATCTCTGGTCTCTCTCTGGTCTCTCTCTAGTCTCTCTCTAGTCTCTCTCTAGTCTCTCTCTGGTCTCTCTCTAGTCTCTCTCTGGTCTCTCTCTAGTCTCTCTCTGGTCTCTCTCTAGTCTCTCTCTGGTCTCTCTCTGGTCTCACTCTGGTCCCTCCTGCACTGCGCTGTGTCTTTAGACTTCATTTAAAAGTGGGAAGTTTGTTTTGAGCTTTTTAGTTTAATTTCTGTGTCATGAAAAAGCCGACACGGGTCAAAACAACACGCCACCTGCTCTCGCCCCAGTGTCGTTGCGTGTCTCGTGTCGTAACGCCGCCTCTTCATCTCGTCTCCAAACCTCGTCCTTAAACTGCTCCTGTTATTCAGACGAGTCCAATTTACCTCAGAACAGCCTCAGGTCCAACTCCAGCGTTTCTCTTTTTAAAAACCCAAACGGTGAAACGTCGGAGTGTGGGAGGCGATGAGGAAGAGGAGTTTCTGCAGACGAAGGTTAGTCTGTGATGAGGAAGAGGAGTTTCTGCAGACGAAGGTTAGTCTGTGATGAGGAAGAGGAGTTTATGCAGACGAAGGTTAGTCTGTGATGAGGAAGAGGAGTTTCTGCAGACGAAGGTTCAGTCTGTGATGAGGAAGAGGAGTTTATGCAGACGAAGGTTAGTCTGTGATGAGGAAGAGGAGTTTCTGCAGACGAAGGTTAGTCTGTGATGAGGAAGAGGAGTTTCTGCAGACGAAGGTTCAGTCTGTGATGAAGAAGAGGAGTTTCTGCAGACGAAGATTAGTCTGTGATGAGGAAGAGGAGTTTCTGCAGACGAAGGTTCAGTCTGTGATGAGGAAGAGGAGTTTATGCAGACGAAGGTTCAGTCTGTGATGAGGAAGAGGAGTTTATGCAGACGAAGGTTAGTCTGTGATGAGGAAGAGGAGTTTATGCAGACGAAGGTTAGTCTGTGATGAGGAAGAGGAGTTTCTGCAGACGAAGGTTAGTCTGTGACGAGGAAGAGGAGATTCTGCAGACGAAGGTTAGTCTGTGATGAGGAAGAGGAGTTTCTGCAGACGAAGGTTCAGTCTGTGATGAGGAAGAGGAGTTTCTGCAGACGAAGGTTCAGTCTGTGATGAGGAAGAGGAGTTTCTGCAGACGAAGGTTCAGTCTGTGATGAGGAAGAGGAGTTTCTGCAGACGAAGGTTAGTCTGCGATGAGGAAGAGGAGTTTATGCAGACGAAGGTTAGTCTGTGATGAGGAAGAGGAGTTTATGCAGACGAAGGTTAGTCTGTGATGAGGAAGAGGAGTTTCTGCAGAGGAAGGTTAGTCTGTGATGAGGAAGAGGAGATTTCCCAAATGTGTTTCATGTGTTTGTTTATTGCGACCGTCGTCATCACTGCTTCAGCACCGAGAGAAAAACTTTGATTTACTCAAAACAAACAGTTCTTCATCAACCACAGACCTGCAGTTGTGTTTAGCTCCACTCACACTCTGATAATATTAATAATGCATCTGTTTTTAAACGCTTGCGGATGGTGATAAACTACTACTGTAGCCACAGCTGCCCCGGGGCACACTGACAGAAGCGAGGCAACCAGTCTGTGCCTTCAGCCCCTCCCACCTCCACCAACCATTCACACACACACCAGACTCATTCTAATGGGGGTAAAGTGTCTTGCCTAAGGACACAACCACAGTCTGACACTTTACAGCCGCAGCCGCCCCACTGTGGCACCTGCTGTTCCCCGAGGTCTCCCATCACAGAACTAACCAGGTCCCGGCCTGCTTAGCTTCAGATTTATGGCGACATAGAGTGGGTCTCCCGTCCTTCCAGAGGGAACAACAGCAGACCTCAAGGACAGTAATAAGCAACGACTCAACGACGAGAACAGCTGCGTCTCAAACATCAGGGTTTTGTCAGAGGAAGGATTTAATGTGATTGTGTTCAGGGCTAGGGCTATGGGGTCCACAGGGAAGGGCTAGGGTCCACAGAGAAGGGCTAGGGTCCACAGGAAGGGCTAGGGTCCACAGGAAGGGCTGGGGTCCACAGGAAAGGGCTAGGGTCCACAGAGAAGGGCTAGGGTCCACAGGAAGGGCTGGGGTCCACAGGAAAGGGCTAGGGTCCACAGAGAAGGGCTAGGGTCCACAGGAAGGGCTGGGGTCCACAGGAAGGGCTGGGGTCCACAGGGAAGGGCTAGGGTCCACAGGAAGGGCTGGGGTCCACAGGAAGGGCTGGGGTCCACAGAGAAGGGCTAGGGTCCACAGGAAGGGCTGGGGTCCACAGGAAGGGCTAGGGTCCACAAAGAAGGGCTAGGGTCCACAGGAAGAGCTGGGGTCCACAGGAAGGGCTGGGGTCCACAGGAAGGGCTATGGGGTCCACAGAGGGCTAGGGTCCACAGGAAGGGCTAGGGTCCACAGGAAGGGCTGGGGTCCACAGGAAGGGCTGGGGTCCACAGGAAGGGCTGGGGTCCCCAGGAAGGGCTGGGGTCCACAGGAAGGGCTGGGGTCCACAGGAAGGGCTGGGGTCCACAGGAAGGGCTGGGGTCCCCAGAGAAGGGCTAGGGTCCACAGGAAGGGCTGGGGTCCACAGGAAGGGCTAGGATCCCCAGAGAAGGGCTAGGGTCCACAGGAAGGGCTGGGGTCCCCAGAGAAGGGCTAGGGTCCACAGGAAGGGCTGGGGTCCACAGGAAGGGCTGGGGTCCACAGGAAGGGCTGGGGTCCACAGGAAGGGCTGGGGTCCACAGGAAGGGCTATGGGGTCCACAGAGAAGGGCTAGGGTCCACAGGAAGGGCTGGGGTCCACAGGAAGGGCTGGGGTCCACAGGAAGGGCTAGGGTCCACAGAGGGCTAGGGTCCACAGAGGGCTAGGGTCCACAGAGGGCTAGGGTCCACAGAGGGCTAGGGTCCACAGAGGGCTAGGGTCCACAGGGGGCTGGGGTCCACAGGAATGATTTAACACCTACATTAAAACAGATATGTATCTACAGGTTCTTTGGATGTGGGACTGAACTCAGCAGAAGTGAGTGGGGGTGGTCTACAGCACAGACCCTCATCTCTGGTCCAGCAGCTCGTGGTTCCCCGGGGCCTCTGACCTCGCCGCGTTTGCCTCCGTTAGCTTCTGTCGTGTCGTTAGCTCTTCAAACAGCGACTCGTTAGCATGCTAATCACTCTGAGCTGTGGGGAGAGCCGAGCAAACACCTCCTGCTGAGTCCATATGGTTCTCAGGAGTCTGCATACATCTGCCACGTGTGAGTGATTTAGGATTAACAGGGCCGGCTCTAGACCAGAACAGGGCCCCGGGTCTAACGAGGGCCCCAGAGACAGCCCCACATGTGCCTTACACGCCAACTGGGAAGCATCAAACTAAAACCTCATTCTGGTCATGACTCCAGGGATTCATGGTTGACACGTCTTCATAATTTAAAGCACGGGAACTTCATTTTGTGTTTAATTTTATATTCTTTATTCAGCCACAGCGGGGACTTAACCACATGTTTTTTTCCAACATTGTTTTCACTATACGAGAAAGATCCCTGTGAGTCACTATTTAACTCTTAGGGCTGAGAGCTGATTGGCCGAGAGAGGGCGGTGCTGTCTGTTTCACTTTTCACAAACACGTCTGTGATTTACACTTTTGACAATGTTTATAAGTGATGTAGCAGTGGACCTCAATATACTGTTCTCACTCTAGTCTCTCTCTCTATTCTGTCTCTGGTCTCTCTCTGGTCTCTCTCTGATCTCTCTCTGCTCTCTCTCTGGTCTCTCTCTTGTCTCGCTGGTCTCTCTGGTCTCTCTCTGGCCTCTCTCTGGTCTCTCTGGTCTCTCTGGTCTCTCTCTGGTCTCTCTCTGGTCTCTCTCTGCTCCCTCTCTGGTCTCTCTCTGGTCTCTCTCTGGCCTCTCTCTGGTCTCTCTCTGGCCTCTCTCTGGTCTCTCTGGTCTCTCTCTGGCCTCTCTCTGGTCTCTCTGGTCTCTCTGGTCTCTCTCTGGTCTCTCTGGCCTCTTTCTGGTCTCTCTGGTCTCTCTCTGGTCTCTCTCTGGTCTCTCTGGCCTCTCTCTGGTCTCTCTGGTCTCTCTGGCCTCTCTCTGGTCTCTCTGGTCTCTCTCTGGCCTCTCTCTGGCCTCTCTCTGGTCTCTCTGGTCTCTCTCTGGTCTCTCTGGCCTCTTTCTGGTCTCTCTGGTCTCTCTCTGGTCTCTCTCTGGTCTCTCTGGTCTCTCTGGCCTCTCTCTGGTCTCTCTGGTCTCTCTCTGGCCTCTCTCTGGTCTTCCTGGTCTCTCTGGTCTCTCTGGTCCCTCTCTCTGGCCTCTCTCTGGCCTCTCTCTGGCCTCTCTCTGGTCTCTCTCTGGTCTCTCTCTGGCCTCTCTCTGGTCTCTCTCTGGTCTCTCTGGTCTCTCTCTGGTCTCTCTGGCCTCTTTCTGGTCTCTCTGGTCTCTCTCTGGTCTCTCTCTGGTCTCTCTGGTCTCTCTCTGATCTCTCTCTGCTCTCTCTCTGGTCTCTCTCTTGTCTCGCTGGTCTCTGGTCTCTCTCTGGTCTCTCTGGTCTCTCTGGTCTCTCTCTGGTCTCTCTCTGGTCTCTCTCTGCTCCCTCTCTGGTCTCTCTCTGGTCTCTCTCTGGCCTCTCTCTGGTCTCTCTCTGGCCTCTCTCTGGTCTCTCTGGTCTCTCTCTGGCCTCTCTCTGGTCTCTCTGGTCTCTCTGGTCTCTCTCTGGTCTCTCTGGCCTCTTTCTGGTCTCTCTGGTCTCTCTCTGGTCTCTCTCTGGTCTCTCTGGCCTCTCTCTGGTCTCTCTGGTCTCTCTGGCCTCTCTCTGGTCTCTCTGGTCTCTCTCTGGCCTCTCTCTGGCCTCTCTCTGGTCTCTCTGGTCTCTCTCTGGTCTCTCTGGCCTCTTTCTGGTCTCTCTGGTCTCTCTCTGGTCTCTCTCTGGTCTCTCTGGTCTCTCTGGCCTCTCTCTGGTCTCTCTCTGGTCTCTCTCTGGCCTCTCTCTGGTCTTCCTGGTCTCTCTGGTCTCTCTGGTCCCTCTCTCTGGCCTCTCTCTGGCCTCTCTCTGGCCTCTCTCTGGTCTCTCTCTGGTCTCTCTCTGGCCTCTCTCTGGTCTCTCTCTGGTCTCTCTGGTCTCTCTCTGGTCTCTCTGGCCTCTTTCTGGTCTCTCTGGTCTCTCTCTGGTCTCTCTCTGGTCTCTCTGGTCTCTCTGGCCTCTCTCTGGTCTCTCTGGTCTCTCTCTGGCCTCTCTCTGGTCTTCCTGGTCTCTCTGGTCTCTCTGGTCCCTCTCTCTGGCCTCTCTCTGGCCTCTCTCTGGTCTCTCTGGCCTCTCTCTGGCCTCTCTCTGGTCTCTCTCTGGTCTCTCTGGTCTCTCTGGTCTCTCTCATCTCCTTCTTATACATTCAGGGCAGATTTCTCTCTTTGAGCAGCAGAATCCAACATGGCGGCGCTGGAGTTTGGCCACAGTTCAGAGCGTTCAAATATTGATGCTGTTTTTCTGTTCTCAGTCTGCAGCTTTTCTCCCAAAATCCACCCACTCTGGATCCATCGGGATCAATGTGGATCAGACTGTAGTTCTGTATGGACTTCACAGCTACGGTGCAATAATGTGGTCATACCCTGGTTAGTGCTGTGATGGGAGACCTTTGGGAACAGCAGGTGCCACAGTGGGGCGGCTGCGGCTGTGGTGGGTTAGGGTTAGGGTGGCACATACTGGTTGCCTCGCTTCTGTCAGTAATAGTTTATCAAAACTGTGTTTGCAGCCTGGAGATTGTGACCTGCATGCGACGGAACGTGCCCAAACACTGATAAATCCGTGCCGGAGGCACGAAATGGTTTTATTCCTTCTGTTGTACACAGTGAAATGAATGTGGTCCTCTTAAAGGAGTGGGTTACTTCAACTGTCTCACGGACGAATGTCCGGGCGAAAGCCTAACGGTGCGTGGCCAGACACTGACAAATCCGTGCTGGAGGCACTGAATGGCCTTACTCCTGCTTTCAATGCAAAGTCAATGGTGACGCGCGTTCGAGCGTGGAAATGCATGTGCGTCTCAGGACGCACGCAAGGACTGTGCGACAGAGGCGCAAGAGCCGAAAACCGACGCACGCAGGAGATAAATATTGCTGAGCGTTTGGGACATTAGTGTCTGAGCGAGCAGACTGAACATACTGTAAACAGCTACACCAGGACTAAACCAGGACTAAACCAGGACTAAACCAGGACTAAACCAGGGCTAAACCAGGGTTAAACCAGGACTAAACCAGGACTAAGCCAGGACTAAACCAGGGCTAAACCAGGGCTAAACCAAGACTAAACCAGGACTAAACCAGGGCTAAGCCAGGACTAAACCAGGACTAAACCAGGACTAAACCAGGACTAAGCCAGGACTAAACCAGGGCTAAACCAGGGCTAAACCAGGGCTAAACCAGGGCTAAACCAAGACTAAACCAGGACTAAACCAGGGGTAAGCCAGGGCTAAACCAGGGCTAAACCAGGACTAAACCAGGGCTAAACCAGGACTAAACCAGGACTAAACCAGGGGTAAGCCAGGGCTAAACCAGGGCTAAACCAGGACTAAACCAGGACTAAACCAGGGTTGACAATGGGGGACTGTGTGCTTGTGAACATGTGAGTTTTCATGCTCCTGTGACTTTATACAACTGCTTCGAGTGTGTTCGCCGATGCGGAAATACTGTTTAATAATAAAATAAACTTATTACGCACCTCCGTGAACAGATACTGCTGTTATATAAAGTCACCTCCGTGAACACATACTGCTGTTATATAAAGTCACCTCCGTGAACACATACTGCTGTTATATAAAGTCACCTCCGTGAACACATACTGCTGTTATATAAAGTCACCTCCGTGAACACATACTACTGTTATATAAAGTCACCTCCGTGAACACACACTGCTGTTATATAAAGTCACCTCCGTGAACACATACTGCTGTTATATAAGTCACCTCAGTGAACACATACTGCTGTTATATAAAGTCACCTCCGTGAACACATACTGCTGTTATATAAAGTCACCTCCGTGAACACATACTACTGTTATATAAAGTCACCTCCGTGAACACATACTGCTGTTATATAAAGTCACCTCCGTGAACACATACTGCTGTTATATAAAGTCACCTCCGTGAACACATACTGCTGTTATATAAAGTCACCTCCGTGAACACATACTGCTGTTATATAAAGTCACCTCCGTGAACACATACTGCTGTTATATAAAGTCACCTCCGTGAACACATACTGCTGTTATATAAAGTCACCTCCGTGAACACATACTGCTGTTATATAAAGTCACCTCCGTGAACACATTGGACAAAGAGACGCTGCAGAGCTGCATTATTGGGGAAGAACTTTACACAAAAAGCCGCTAGCTTAACTCCGTTAGCATCAAGCGGTGCTGTGAACGCACATTAGGATTACTACGCTGCTGCATAGTGTCATTTGTGGTGGTACTTAGATTGGAGTATTTTCTGAGGTGGTATTTGGTGTAAAAAGTTTAGAACCACTGAGCTAGACCTTACATAGCCTAGGTCCGGCCCTGGTCTCTCTCTCTCTGGTCTCCCCATGGTCTCTCGCCATAGTCTTTCTACTCCCTCTCTGGTCTCTCTCTGGTCTCTCTGGTCTC